CTAGCTAGCCATCAAACACCCACTCCCCCTTTTATTGCCTACGGTTGAGAGAAACTATAACTAAGTTAAAACAGTAAGAGATCAAGGCAATGAGATGAAGAAACCTTCGCCGACAAAATTCTATATTGTGATTATCAAGTTTTCTTCATCTTCGGAAAAATCAGTTTCGTCGACTTTCACTATCTTTTCTACTAAAAAAGTGTAGTTAAGCATTAAGCAAGTTTAATTGTTCGTTTAAGGTGGGATAGTCAAGTCGAGGTGACTTTGATAGTTTTTTACAAGTTATTGAGCGTAAATCATGTTTTATGGTTTTGGAAAATATACATCCAGATGCATTGCAAAAGTTGTAACTAAATACAACTTCATCTTCAAATCAAACATTACTAAGATTTCAAATTCCAAAAGAGAACTTGGAATTAATGTCCAAACGCCTACTAAATTAATAGGTGCATATATGTGTTTGCATATAAATTTATATTGTATTACTTAATTATGATTAAATTAATACATATTTTTTTTCATTAAATATTTTAACTATGATAAATTGAATTGGTAACAAATTTAAGAAAGGAAAAAAGTAAAAAGGCACTTCTCTTTATCCAAACGGAAGATGTGACGACCAGGGAACGAACCAGTCCAGTTGTAGGTTCACAAGGTGACCCAAAAATAGTCAGATTTACAATTGATAATTGAAAAATAATTAAAATTTTAAAAATAATCAAAATTTAGCCACTTTCATGTAAAGATAGAATCTATATCAATTCGAAAAATGGCTAACCCATATTATTTTGACAGAAAGATGTGGAGGAGCAAACGTGAGGGCCCTTTTTAAGCTAAGTTTTACTAAAAACAAATTCGTGGTAAGAACGTAAACTGTGAGTTACCTACATGTAAACGGTTACCTTAATTAATTTGTTGCACTTCCAAGAAGCAGGGGGGAAAAAAGACATTTTCCATTTACTCATTTGAGATTCCAATTGACGTTAAAGATTCAATTCCTGGGCATTGAAGCCACCTGGTTCTTGATCCGTGGTATTGCTCTCACTGGACCCCACACCCTCCACTCCTTCCGTAGTATAAAATTATAACCCCACACTCCACTCCTTAATAGCCACCAATCCATTTTTCCCACAGTTTATACCCCAACAGTGTATTTTTGGAACAATCAAAATCATCATTCTCATATTTCTTGAACCCCAGTTCGGAAAAAGCTTCAAATTTTAGTTATGGAGTCCTTAACAGGATCATCTTTAAAAGGGGTTTGTTTGGACAAGATTATAGACAAACACAGAGGTCTGTCTTTGTATGGTAAAGATGTTGGTCTGAGTAAAAGGCCAGAAATTTGCTTTCTTGGACTGTCAAGCTGTAAGATTGTTAATGTCAGCTCACTTTCTATTCAGCGCAAAACCGTTCAACCAATTTTTTGTGCTCCTGCTCTGCAATCATCTACTGACACTCAGGTCTCTTCTACTTTCAATTATTGAATAGTGGAGTAGTACTATTTAGCTCAAAATCATTTGGGATTTTTTTATGTACTAAAACATTTTATGTAAAAATAAAATCTAGTCTTATTTTCATGTTTCTAGTTAATACTTAACTTCTTTCTTTCTTTCTTTCTTTTCAGATATGAACATGTTAGCTTGCAATATGATGTATAACATGTACTATGAGTTACAAAATTTCACCTCAAAGTGAAGTTAGAAATACTGAGAGAGTAATTGATAAATAGCTAAAAATTGGATGTGTTTCTTGTTCTGCTAATGTAAATAACTAGTAATATTACTATTATATGGATCTAAGTGACATATGCACTATTGAATGAAAATTTTTCTTAACAAAACTAATCAATATAATTGTATGTTCAACTTTTAACACATGCAGACACATACTCAGAGTGAAGAATCAGAGACAACTGATACAAGTAAGCCATTCCTGCTGTGTTAGTTATTAGATGTAGGAGTTATTTTTCCTGTAATAACACTCGCTCTCACCTTTATTCTGTCGAAAAAATAAAATTAACTTAGATACTGTTGTTTTCTTTCTAGATCAATCCGAACCTGTCCGTGTAAAATTTCAATTGAATAAGGAATGCACCTTTGGTCAGCATTTCCACATAGTGGGTGATGATCCAGTTCTTGGTTCATGGAATCCTTCAAATGCAGTGCCACTTGACTGGTCAGAGGGACATGCTTGGACTGTCGAGTTGGTACGAAGACTGCACTGAAATCAATATAATTATGGTTAATATTCATTTACTAAACTACGTTCTAATTCTTTGAGACTATTATAGGATATCCCAAGTGGAAAACCCATCAGCTACAAATTCATTCTGAAAGGAGATGCTGAGACTATCCTGTGGCAACAAGGCCCTGATCGAATTCTTCAAACATGGGAAACCAAGAAAATAATAACAGTTTCTGAAGATTGGGACAATGCTGAGCTGCAGACAATTGTAGAACAGGAACCTGCTGCAGAACAATCCGAAGAATCTGCAGCTAATCCAGAAATTTTAATAGCTGATAATCTGGTTCCACCAACAGTTGTAGACCTAGAAGATGATATAAACGAGGAAAAAAGCAATGAAGTTTTAGCTATAGTCGCAGAAAATATCACTGAAGTAAAAGAGGATGTGAACACTAATCTAAATGAGGACACAATAATAGAAGCAAAAGCTATTGGCAAGAACGGCATGGTATTTAATAATGAAGTGTTAAGCTCAAAAGAGGAGTCAATCCTAGTCCCGCGTGAAACAGTTCCTGTCTTGGTTCCTGGCTTAACCCAAGTTTTGGACATGGACAAAGTTATTGCTGAGACCTCACTTGGATCAAATAGTGAGGAGTTCAATGTGTTGTTGGATGAAGTTCAGATGAATAAAGTTGTTGCTGAGGGCCCACTTGGATTGAAATCTGAAGAGTTCAATGTGCCAGAGGTAACTGCTTAACACCTATTAGAAGTTTCTTTTTCATAGGCTTGGCGAGAGATGATGATCCCTCATATATAAGTTGCTAACAAATGTATGGAGAAAGAAATTTCTTTAGCAAAGAATAGTTCTCAGTTTTGTCTTTCCTAATAAACAAGGTTCTACTGCAATGACAGAGAGCCATAGACGTTGAGTAATTGGTGCTTGGTGTGTTGAATTACCAAGAATCAATAAAGATTTTTAGTTCTCTATATTCTTTCTTGATCACATTGTAAAACAGTTTTTTTTAGAACATAAGAAAGTTGGTATTCAAACAATCAATATCTTAATAAACTATTGAGACAAAAACTAAAACTTGCAACCCCATTATGTCCTGCTTAAAGGCCTTGTTATCTTCATATTATCAGGACACAAGTTGGTTTCAAACAATTAAAATCTTAATAAGACACAAAACTAAAACTTGTAACCCCCATTATGTCCTACTCAAAGGTCTTTAATCTTCCTAAAATGTTGAGGCTTTACTGCTTTAGCTTGAGTGCTCAAAGGCATTACATAGCTCATGTATAGTTCTAATTGTTCATTGTACTTTCTTTATTCGTCAATTTGTGATGTGCTGATATTTTTATATATCCAGTTGAGTTCAAATGAAGAGGTAGCTACTGATTTAACACATCCTAGAGAAATCCCAGAACTGATGCTTAATGTCAAGCAAGAAGTAAGTGGGAATGAAGATATAGAAAAGTCTGAATTAGTGGAAGGAGGAGATTGGCCTAACGGAAAGCCCGTGGAAGAGATATTTGACAGTGATATGCAATGGGGTAAAAGAACACTGCAGAAGTTCTTTGCCAATTTGGGTTTCTTTAAAGTAGAGCTTGAAGGCTGAAAAACAAGCTCATAGACAACAATATGTGTATAACAATGTCACTGATAATGTATTATGGTCCTCTTTTTCTCTTTTTTCCGAGGCTATGTATTATATTTTTGTTCCCCTAAATATTACTATTCTCAAGTATTAGAACTATCCCACCACGACCAAAGGTGGTGTGGGATGGATAGGATCATTCCATTCTTAATCAAAGGTTTCGAGTTGGCACCTTTAAATAGAGAAAGATCCTGCTAGGGAGCGAGCACTTCCTCCTTCAATGGCCTTAATTGGTGTGGATCCGAATTAATCGATACTCTAATACGAGTACTGAAAAAACAGGTGGGAAACCAATAAAAAAACCAACCCACCCGAAAAGGAACTCATACATCGTTTTTGGTGCAGGAAAGCACCATAATTGCACGATCATTACTCTCCCTCGACTCTAACATAAATAGCCAGATCTGTTCACCATCCCCAATGTTACATGTTATTATAACCACATTATTTGAGATCTCTCTAGGAATTCTGCTTACCCGGACGTAACGCCTACGCTGTTCACTTGTCTTTTGGCCAGTTACCAAAGGGTTGTCTCCACTAAAAATATCCAAGTTATGGTTTGTCATTGGTAAGTAAACTTATACGATGGTAGTGAAGAACGTGACAACAAAATTATGATTAATAGTCGCTGTACTGGCGATATAATTATGTTTACTTGTATCATAATAGTTCAATGCTCGAGTCTCGCATCACCAAACATGTGATTTAGCAACCCAACAGGACTTCAGACTTGCGCACAGATTATGATCCCGTAACTAAACCAGTGAGACATCCAATAAAAAAAAACCATTGGCAATTCATACTCACACAGGATACCTTGGATTGTGACTGCTAGCAACATTCATTTACGTGGAAGCAACCACTAATGTTTGCATTAGTATAGGCTGTCTACATCACACCACTTGGGGTACAACCCTTCCACATATCCTGCGTGAATGCAAAATGCTTTGGGCACTAGGCTGCCTCTTTTTTTGACATTCACTGACAATTGTTACTATAAATGATAAAATCATCATGTGTAGATTATGAATACAAATCTGCACATGGCGTGCTCAAAACATATGCTACATCTACCCCAAGTGTAGCATTAAATGCCAGAAATTAACACAGGAGAATTCGCAAGGAACATGAACATCAGCGTGGAAAGCAGCCTCTATATCAAACAACTTTGAAATTGAAGCATAAATGATTGATTGTGTAGATTTCAAATAAAGGAACAGCAAGTTTCTATAGAAAAATATCTTGTTATCTTTACTACGAAGCTAACAGAAAACTGCAAGGTAGAAACTATATACTTACACACACAATGGTTGAAACTAGGGCACCAAAAACAAGCCCTTCCATAAAAGATGTTGGAATCACTTTTCCAAGGAGAGTAAAAGGGAAAGATAATTCTCTGTAGCATAGCGGGAAAAAAATTATGAAGGCACCAAAAAGCCAATTAGATAGTTGTGAAGGTGGTTTCGCTACCAAACTGTCTGTCTGGAGACACCGGTCAAAATTCCTGCTGTAGGACCTCCCATTATAAAATCACTTGGGTGGTGCTAGCTCTCTCTCTGGACATGATTTGGATAGGGTGGTTAAGATCTAACACAATCAAGAGATAACTAAAGTTAGTATTCATCAGCGGAGCGGAAAACATGAACTCTTTATTCCAAACCTTGCTTAGTTCTTCATCAGTTAAAAATCAAACACAACTTTCAGGTGCAGAGACTAAAAGCAAGGCAAAATCAACTTGGGAACTAGGGAGAACTTGGCTATGATAAAAATGTAATACTGTGGCCCTTAGGTTACCTGGGTGAATCCCTTTGACTCGTTGCACCAGTAGTACCTGCACATGCTTGTTCAGCAACTCAGGATACTCTCGACACAGCAAGGTTTGAATCAGGTGCATCTGAGGAAGAATAGGAGATGGTCAAAACACTCCACCCAGAGCAGAGACAAGAAGAAGCTATTGGAATATGATAGCCTTCCAGTTAGGGGTAGACCATATTCAAGGACCAAAATAGAAAAGGAACAGAAAGAAACCCCAGCAAAAGTTACAACAGAACTGAACTGTGAGAGGAAAATAGAAGGGGCAGAATTAGGACTAAACACCACTGTTTTACCTCAAAAGAAGAAGCATGAAGCATGGCCTATGCTGCAAGATGAACAAGTAGGCCAACAAGCTCACATTTCCCTGTTTTGCTCCCGACTCTGATGCAACAAAATTCAAGGAGGGGTGCATCCCAGAAAATCTCAACCCCTCCTCCCCAAAACTTATATCCATGCACCCCTTAGCCAAAGATCAGTCACGTTCTCAAAAACTGGGCAATCAGTCATGGGCAGCATTGCCATTAACTCCCACCTCCGGAACATTTACTTGAGGTACTCTATCCTCCACTGACCATTCATCCGCATGATTGACAGTCTCCCACAAGAACCCATTTTCATTTTCCACTGAAAGCTTATTGAGGTCTTTATCCACTACTCGAGGGTGAGATGTAATGTATGAGACGTATCTATCTGCACATATGCATTATTAGTCTACAAATTAGCTCTCAAAATGAACCTGTATCCAGACAAGGTAACTTTAGAAAGGACAGAATGTAAAGAAACTCCTGGGTCTTATCATAAAATCACATTGAATTCAGAAATCGGTGCAACATTCCCTTTTTTACAAGGTTCAGAAGTAGGTGTAACATGTCAGAATTGATAAGAGTAATATATATACTGACATCACGCTAAAGTGATAACTGAGAAAATGAAAGATAACTTTGTCAAAACACACAAGAGACTATTCTTAACAATTTACTGGACATGAGACACAGTTCTTAAGAATTTACACATAACACAAATCCTCTTTTGAAATAGTTGAAGTGAAGAATGAATTTCCATTACACCATTAGCTCAGGATGCTTGTAACAAGTTACATCAAGAAATTCAGAGGAACATTTCAACAGGATCTTACCAGCCAAGTTACGAAGAGCATTCTCAGCTGCCTGTTGCTGAGCATCCTTCCTAGTCTTACCCATTCCAACACCAACCCTCTCACCGGTGAAGAAGACCTAAAGATGACTCAGGCTCAGAATTCTGGATACAAAAACCTTATGCTGCTTGTCTAAATTCAGAAGCCAATATGATAATGCACTTTATATGAACAATAATGCCAGGAGCAGGCAAAAACAAAGAAAATTTTCTTCCCAGTTCGGATGCAACACTCTTATATCAAAACGAATATCTTGAAAGAGAGACATTAACAGACAGTTCATAACACATGCCTCACATAGTATTTAAGTGAGGCATATCAAAACGAATATCTTGAAAGAGAGACATTAACACATGCCTCGCTTGCCGATTTTCCAAGTCATCACAGCACATGCCTCATATAGTAACGCACAGTTCATCACAGCCCATGCCTCATATAATAATAAATATCAACTGTCTCAACTAGAACATGCAGACACATGAATCACATCGCACACTACTTTCAAGTATCCCATCAACATCAAAGGCATAAACTCCACAATATTATCACAGCATATTGTTTCACTTATAGCTTTTTTTTTCTAAAAGAGATTTGTTTTGATTAATTTGTTAAATGTATAGCAAACTACCATAACTGTCTTAACAAGGATATAAAATCCATGGAGCCATTACCTTGCACACTACTTCCTAGTATCCCATCAGTATATAAGAAGAGGAACAGTGCTATCAGTGAAAACTAGAGCTGCATTTAGCAGAATTTTATCTTCAAATTTTGATGATAACAATGCAATTAAAGAGTCCCTGAAAATGGCTTCAGATAAGTAAAACTTTCTACAGTAGAAAATGCTCTAACCTCAACTGAAAATTGCAATTCCTCACTGGTGCTCACCACAGGCCTGAACTCAACCTACATAGCAAGACACAGTGGTGGAGCTCTTACTATGACAACCAAGAAAAAGCAACAAGAGCAGAGAATGGTATCATCTTGGCTAAAAAGTATGTACCACATACCTTTGAGTTACATCGCCGTCCAATTTCTTGCAGCACCCCAGTAGTTAAAGATGGTAAGAAGTTCATTCTCCCAGCTTCTGGTTGAGATTCTCTGTTGTTAAATGTTGACTGATGTTGAAGGAGTCTGCCCTCTGTCAGGGTCAAAGTACAATTAGCCTAGCAAGCATATGTTATAAACTTGAGGACGAGAGGAAATAAAACAAGGAAAAGGGGAACAAAAAGAGACTGTTTGTGTCAACTAACCAGTAAACATTTTAACTAATCCATTTCTCAACCTTCCCTCAATAGTCTCTTACTTGTTCTCCGTATACTAAACTAAATACCAACCTATAAAGTCAGCACATCCAAGAATCAATATGTTGCTTCTATTGTTCAAGATTATACAAAAACTTCTTTTGAAGTCCTTCTAAACACTATCTTGACCAAAATAGATACACACACACCATCCTGGCAATCAATAAGTATTAAGTATTCATTCCGGCCTTCTTTATTTTCTTGGATAAATTTTATCCCTGCCCTAATTGACAAATAAACACACAATTAGTTGGATTTATTACTATTTCGATAGCTGGGCTCAAAATCACAAGCTGACAAGCTGAATCCTAGCCTTTAGCCACATCAGTAGCACCAAAGACTGCAGTCAGACTTAATACCAGCAACCAACTTAACAGCATTCACACCCCAGAAGAGTCACTCACATGGCTACTTTATCCAAAGACCATACAGTATTGTATGTAGTATGGTTAATAAATGCATTCCTACCTAAAGGCCTACATTTGTCCTTAATATTTCAAATCCATAACATCAAACAAGGAATTAAAAAAAAACACTAAAACAATCTATAAGAATAAAACTCAAACCCACCTGTCTGTTGAATAAGAGAATTTTGTTTATGCATTTCATGCTTGAAATTTGCCTGCAAAGAGTCGAACATTCGAAAGGATTAGCCAACAGGAGGCCAGTTAACTATTTCAGAGGGAAGCAGTAGCAAGTACCTCTTCATTCTTCCCTGTAGATGCATATGTTGGTAACACCATGCTTGTTGCACCTTGACTGAGCAAATTCAGATGACCTCTCTGTTTATCAGACCTTGATGCATCAGATTCTTGAAAAATCCCAGGTGATCGACTACCCAAATGTCCTTTATTTAGGTCATCTTCCACCAACCATCCACCCTGCGATGGTATGGGCAGTATGGGTGGTTTCTGAGGCACCCTAGATAATAAAGGAGGTTCTGCTGAACCGCGATACCTCGAATCCTGGCTAGGATTCAACATGGGATACCTTCTCTTCCCATCAGCATCAACTTCAGAAAAGCTGTTATCTCGTCTAAATGGAGCTCCCAGCAAACTTGGTTCTAAATACACACAGGAACAAATTGATTACCGGGTGGGAAATGAAAAAGATAAAACATCACTATATAAGTGCAGGTAAAGACAGGCTTCTATACTTTCTGAAGGTTGAATTGGTCTCATTGATTGAGCAGGTACATTTGCAGCAATTCCCACCGGAAGCTGTGAGCTTCCAGGCTTCAAATCAAGATTATTACCGATGAAAGGAGGAGCAGAGTTCATATTAACTTTTCCCTCCTGGATAGAACATAAATGTTAGAGCATAAGCAAATGACAGGCTAAAATTAAATTACTTGATGTGATGTGTTGCTCTTCCAAGTTATTTTTTTGGTCAAACATGTGATAACAAGTCAAAATACGCAGACAGTTATTACCACCTGCTGATGCAATCTTTGTGCAACTTCAGGCCCATACATCCCTTCAGGAATAGGAGCATTCAGATTTCCGGATGATGAAAAACAAGCATCCTTAGAGTAGGGAAAGCAAACCCTTATCAAGATCAGCCTTCATTTAAAAGTTGAAATTTAAAGAGCTTGAAGATGAATACCTCAGACATTAAGTAGTTGCTCACGTCAGGTGCAGAAGGTAAATTTACAACCTCATCTTCATAGAAGATCTCAGAGATCTTCCGGAGTAGACTTTCATCAAACTCTCTAAGTGACAAAGAAAATGACTCAGATAAAGAACTACTCAATTGACTCATAGGACTGGAACTGCATTGGCCATCTCTTCTGAGAATGAACTTACTTGAAAAATCGACCTCTAACATCGCAAGCAACATTTCTCGCCACACATAGGACTGGAACTGCATTGGCCATCTACTCAAAAAGAAGTTCCCGTTCAGTCTCGATGTGACAAAATAAAGATGATATTAAAATAATCAGAAATAGCAAAACACAAACCTCTGCTTGTGGAGCATAATATGGAGTGAAAGCAGGAACAACATGAACGCGAGGTTGATCTTTATCTTCCCACACTTTTAATCGGTCATCAATAACCATCGCCAATTTTGGATGACAATTGCCAGTTTGGAAGACAGTAAGTAAAGACTTCTTGGCCCCTATGTGACCAATAACATAGACAATGTTCTGAGTTAATGAAAAAGATTTTATAAACATTAGAAGCTAAAGAAAATACCACCAAAAGGTTAGAACGTCATATATCAAACACAAGAAGACAAATCTTCCATTAATTTTGGTGCTTCATTATCCTTCACGACAATGTGGATGGATCATAGGTTCATAAAAAGAGGTTAGAGCTTTTCTCTAGTAATGGTAGGGGGTGGTTTACCATGAGTGGAAGAACAAAAGATTATTTTCCCAAGGAGTCACAAGACAGTAAATTATTCCAGGTCCTAACCTGATTTGACACATACAACACGGTCCATCAATTGTTTGGCATTAATGAGGTGTGACCCAGGGTCAAGTAGCCTCCAGATCTCCAATGCATAATCTCTCTCCGCCATGGTGCAAACATACACTTCGAACCTTCTCCGACCTCTGGCTGTCAAATAAGTTCTCAACTCATCCCAAGCAGGACGCAATCTAACTAGCACACTGGTATCCCGATTCTGCACAGGAAGTTTCCCATGATAAGAAAATGCGTGGAGACAGAAAATTCATCACAGACGACCATGATGAGTTATAAATGTTCAACTGAATTCGAGTCCACATTCCAGTGTCCTAACACGGGCAACTGCATTAAGACAATGAAACTAGATATTCCGATGGCAGTTGAGCTAGAAAGCCAAAAGTCCGGATACCATTTTCTTTTAGCTACATGAAATAAATATTGATTGAATACAAGAGCCATAAAAGAATAAAGACCGGAGGTGGATTGTTGACCACTCCTCCAATCCTTTCTTCCACAAACACGCACAGGTAAGGATGCAGATCTCTAAGCATGGGAAGCCCATAAGGGAATGCAATTTTCCCAATGCTGGTGGATTAGTAAACCCATATGTCTAAGGACCATCAGCAGCATGAAGTGCACATTTCATGAACAAAAGAAACTCAAATTGCAATTCATTAAACACCATCACAATAGACCAAATAAACACCATAGAGTATAATACAAACACCTTCGAGTAAGTGAGGGGAACTGAATGAGTCACTTAGCCAACACTATGGTTCAATCCGATCTTGTCTGCTCTTGACACAGGGTCACAAGAAGCATCACCAACCTCAATGATGGACCGAAAAAGCTGTATAACGTAAACATAATATACACACGCACACACACAAAGAAAAAGAAAGACCAACAAATCAAAGCACCATGCCTTCTCAGAAAGCCCAATTTGAGACCGAAAACATATCAACTACATGAACTTCTGGATGTAGATGCAAAAAAGGGTCTAACAAAGCAAATAGCAAGTAATAAAGGAACATTAAGTTTAACGCAGATTGGTCTCAAAGTGCCTAAAATAGTTGTTTCATCCACGATTCCAGATAAGCAACATAACTTGGAAGTTCATTAAATTATAAATCGTACAACCAAGGAGTAGACCAAACAGTATCTCAAGCTGAGATCATCAATAAACCATACAGAGAACCTTGTCTACAAGATCTCAAATAGAGCATGTAAGTTTTCTGAAAAGAAAGACATAAATGTTGAGTGATAAAGCATAGTTGCCACCAGAAAGTGAAAGGCTGTTAACTAATGAATTGGTAACAGGTTAAGCATAAAGACAGGATAACAGCAAATGTTTTAGCACAATACTGTGAAACTATTTAAATCGCTGCAATTAACTACTCAATCCACTTTCATGCAATAGTACTCCAATTTGTATATAAAAACAGTAAAGCATACTGCNATTCAATCGATCAACTATGCCTCACTGTACTATATGTGTTTTCTATTAAGAAACCTAAAATACTAAAAATTAACAGAATAATGAGCAAATATAAAAAATTAATGACAACATACTCCTAATAAATCAATAGCCAAAATTTTACTCCACGAATATATCACGACATGCAACTGATCAACTTCCACTAGCACCACTAAGGGAATGTTGTAAGCAGGGGGGATATTCTCCATGATGCAAAACGTAGAATAATTTGACAAATATGCATGCCTTAGACGTGTCATGATAAGAATCAATATTTGCAAGGCATAACAGAGAAATGAAAGAAGATCTCCCCGTCTTATTACCTCTGGATTAATCCGTGTAAGAACCACATTCTTTTCCAGCAACCTTATGACTGGACGAACTACTCGCTCTTGCCCTTCAGATAATTGTAGCACCTCCTCTTGCTGAGCTTTATATACTTTCCCGCCGTCAACAACAGAATCACTCTCCAAGTACTGCTTCAACAATGCACGATCCTCTATATATCTCTTCATCTCAGCGGACATCCCAGACAACCGAATTGGATCTGTTTCTCGTGCAACCCAACCCCGCAAAGCCTCAATTCTATCCTCAAACGACTTCATCGTATTAGCAACAATTAAAGTCTCATCGAGATCAAAAACAATTGATAAACACCTCATATTCAGCATTCCTAAGCAAGCACTATACAGACCAAAGGGCACTAAATAGCACCAAAAACAGGGGAACTTCTTCTGCTTACTCGGCATTGCCACCAAATGTATTTCTTCTTCCCCCAGCAAGACTACTGCAGTCTACACACAAACCAACGAGAAGGAACAATGCATCAGCACATCTTATCCATAACACATTATATCCACAAAATATCAATTAAACATTACTTAATGTACGTATTCAGGATTTCTCCGTCCTCTTATCACCAAGTTATGTATACTTCAGACAAAATCACATTTCTGAGGACAATACAATAGCTTTTAGCACGTGTCTTCATTTCTTAATGCAAAAACATAAGAACATATTTACATCGCATATAAGAAATTTCAATTCTTTTCAATAGATACATAAAAACAAAGGTATGGGTAAGGTCTGCGTACTTACTACTCTCCCCAAACCCCACTTGTGGGAATACACTAAGGCATGTTGTTGTAGATACATAAAAACAAAAAACATGCAACATATGCAGAGCTGTCAAATTCATAGAGCATCCTCATTATTAAATCATAATATCAAAAAGGAATTTGCATATACATCCAGATGAAAATGCCACAACTACTTTCATCTCATCAAAATATCATCAACCAAGAAAATCATAGCCACAAGATTTCTCATTGCCAAAAAAATTCACGAATTAACTGTAATCAAGGCACCGCAAAGAAACTTTGCATACACATCTGCATAAAATGCCACAAGATTTCTCACTGTCAAAAAATTGAGGTAACCAACTAAAAGCACAACTGTGTCCCATTAATTTCATCAACAAGAGCATTATTTCTCATTATCAGAAAACTCTTTGAACAACTAAACAACAACTGGACTCTAGTAATTTCATAGTAAATGTAAAGTCGGTATAGTAAATGTAAAAACGTTAACGAGCATTATGAGTCTCATCGTCACAAAATTCCATTAGCAACTAAATTCAACTCGTGCAATACTTTCACAGCAAATGTAAAACCAGTATTTCAGAATAAGGGGTCGTTTGGTATAAGGTATAAGAAGGTATAGGGGTGATATAAAAATTTAATACCACCTTAATACTCTGTTTGGTTAGCAAACCAGGTATAAGTTATCCCGCTGTTAATTTTAACACCGGGATAACTTATACCTTATAGAGGGTGGGGTAATTAGCACCGGTATAACTTATACCTTCTTCTTAGAAATTATACAATTGTCATTCTTAATACAACATACCAAACAGTAAATAAACAACAATCCCAGTATAACTAATCCCAGCATAACTTATCCCAACATATCTTATACCGGCATAATTTATAACGGCATAAGCCCTATTCCAACCAAACGACCCCTAAGAGTTTAAGTTCTGTGCACGGATGGTGTAAAACATATTTATACAATCAGGTCACTTATTAGTTAATTACAGGTAAATCTCTTGATAAGCATTAAATAATAAACTGATAAAAGTGGTAACTAACCTACTATCATAGGTTAAAATTCATTGATACTATAAAAAATATCTACACAATCAGATCACTATTAGGTAATTACAGGTAAATCTCTTGATAAGCATTAATTAATAATCTGATAAAAGTGGTAACTAACTACTATTACAGGTTAAAAAATCTTTATACAATTGGTTATAGCTAGTTATCAATTAAATGTTAAATCAGCATTTCACAGTAAATGTAAAGCACTATACAACTGATTATAGCTAATTATTCAATTAAAACTTGAATGAGTTCATAAAAGCACGAGGCATGAAGATTGATCAACAGAGGCTGATTAGAACCAAGGTATATAAATAACAACTAGCCTTTTGTAATCATAGTAAATGTAAAGTCAGTATTTCACAATAAACGTAAAATCATCAACAAGCATTTTCTTTTGATGAAGTATTACGAGTCTCATTGTCACAAAATTTCGCAACAACTAAATCAACTCGTGCAGTAAATTGGCAGTAAATGTACTAAAGCATTAGACAACTGGCTATAGCTAGTTATTCAATTAAAATTTGCCAATGTATATAACCTTGAGTTCATAAAAGCAGGAGGCGTGAAGATTAATCAACGGAGACTGATCAGAACCGTTCGACGCCGAATTCGAGTTGGGTTCAAGCTTACAACGAACAGGTGATGAAATTGTTTGTAGAACAGAGAGAGGATGACACCGTTCGCTGTTTTGAGATATGTGATGGATCCGTATCTCGTTGTTTGGGAACTGAAAATTCTGATCCTTAACCTGAACAGTTTCCAGCTCTCCTAAACACGTTTCTCCATGAAACACAGCCGATTTGAACCCTAAAAAACTCATCGTAACACAGCTTATTCCCGCAAAATCGCAAAATGTGATGAATTACTCGAGGAAAATTGACTGGAAAAATAGAAAAAAATTAGAAAAAAAGAATTTTCTCTTTCTTCACTCCATTGCTGTGTACCTATTTCTCTATGTGTTTTTTCTCTCTCTAGAGCTGGCGCGCTCTGCTTATGCTTTTCTTTTCTCGCTCTATAAGCAGCGGTTTCGAATGAATGGGCTGTGTAGGTATTTATAGAAAAACTGAGTGGGGTTGATTTATAATTGGTCTTAATTTTGTAAGAATTTTACGGAAATACCGGAGGGTTTCGTATGGATTTTATCTGGTTCAAGGTACGCATGCGATGTGTGAGGCTCGTAAGGGTTTGTTGTTCTACGCTCTGACGCACGGTTAGGATGCGTATGATTTGATGTGGCGTGACCGTTACCGTTGGATCAATGAGAATTTGATCTTATGGTGGAGACGCGTCTATTTAATATTACTCCTTTATTTAGTAGGAAGTATTTGGTTGGGTTACTCATTAAGTAGTGTTGTAATTTGTAATGTATCAGCAATTATAATTACCAAAAAGAAAGAAAAAAATTATAGAACTGCTATATTTGTGTGTTTGTCTAAAGATTTAACCTTTTTTCCCTTTTTTGCATAGGGATTTTTTAAAAAATTGTTAAAAATCAAATTAGATTATGTATTAGCTAATTTATTTCATTGTCTATCGGGCTATGATGCTTAATGTTTTCCGCTTATTTTTAATATACAAATCGGATTAATGTTAACTCAAATTCGATTTCAATTTGAGACTCAATCTGGAACTAATTTATAGGTTTAAGATTGACGAGGTATAAATAAGAAGCCAACACTTGATCGACTTTAGTATTTAATAGCGAATGCGACTTTGAATCAAATCAGATTATGATATCAGCTAATTAATTTTATTTTTCATCCAGCTATTGATGACTAATACGTTCCCATTGCTTGTAACATAAACCAAATGAATCCATGTTACATTAGATTCGATTTCAATTTGTGTCTCAATTTTAAGACAATATCCAAGTTTGAGATTGACGAGATACAAATGAGAAGCTCAACATATGATCGATTCTAGTATTTAATGGCGCATGCAATTGTACTTATCAGTATTTACTCACATTAGAGATATTTATTAAAAATAAATTATATTCATATATAATAAAGTGCATTATATCGAGTTAATATTAATCGGGTTTAATTTTTATTTGAGCTTCAATTTCGAGTTAATATCCAGCTTTTAAAATTGACAAGATACAAATGAGAGGCCAACACATGATCTACATCTAAAATTTAATAGTACATATCAGTCTCTAGGTACACACATTGTACGTGTATCTCAGATTATTTATAAAGCATTAAGAAACAACATTAATAGTAGTAAAGACATGCTATAAAATAAAATTAAAGAAAACGTATATATAAAAACTTAATTAGGTTACTAATAAAGTGTTGTAAATTTGTAATATAACAGCAATTATAGAGTTGCTATATTTGTGTGTTCGTGTATAGATTTAACTTCTCTTTATCTTTTTTGCAAGGAATTTTTTAAGTAACTTTATTAAAAATTAAATTAGATTATGTACCAGCTAATTAATTTTATTGTCTATCTAGCTATTGATGCTTAATGTGTTCCACTTATTTGTTCTATAAATTTGTCGATATAGCGTTAAATCAGATTCCATTACAGTTTGATTCTCTATTTGAAGTTAATTTTTATATTTAAAATTGACAAGGCATAAGAAATCAAAGCATGTTTTACTCTAGCATTTAACGGTGATTATAACCATGAATCAAATCAAATTATGATATCAGCTAATTAATTTATTGCTTATCCGGCTATTGATGCTCAAGTGAATTCTCGTTATTCACATTATAAACTAATAATATTAATATTAAATCAAATGCGAATTCAGTTTGAGTCTCAATTCATAGTCGATATGTAGGCTTGAGATTGACAAGATTTAAATGAAAGCTCAACACGTGGCCGCTTTAGTATTTAATAGCACATGCAACAATACTTATTAGTATCTTTTACTTAGACTAAATATTTGTCACGATCCAAAACCCATTATAAGTGGTGATAGCGTCCAACAACACTGTTAGGCAAGTCAACGGTGAACCATCTAAATAACTATTTATTTTATTACTATTGAAATCATAAGTTTTATTAAATAAAGAATTTAATGCATTCTTAGTAAGATATAAAAAAAAAACATCTACTAGAATATCCCAACACCCGGTGTCACAACTACATGAACATCTACTAGGAAGTACAATAATAATACAATATATGTCTGGAATGTATAATAGACAGGATAACATAAATGAACATGATGGAGACTCTGTGTGTTGCGGATCGTATCATGGATGCAGCTCACCTTAAAGTCCCCTCAATAGTTGCGCCCTTTCGCTCAAATGAACATTAGAAATATACCTGCACAATAAGTGCAGAAGTGTAGCATGAGTACAACGCATACCCAGTAAGTATCTAGCTTAATCCCGAAGAAATAGTGATGAGGGGTCGACATTGACACTTACTAATGGTCTAATAAATCAAATATAATAAAGTACACAAGTATAAACACATGGTAAGTAAATAGTGAGAGAAGATATAGGCAAATAATATGGTCTACGGCTGAACAGTGAACACAAAGTTCTCAAATATTGGATACCTCCTCAAATGGAATACGTAATGGTCAACACCAAATCAATTGTCACATCTCAAGTCAGGAAAACTCATGAGTACGTAAATTTTTTATCAAGTATTTTGCACGTTTCTGTCGAGGCGAGCAACCCGATACAATAAGAGTAAAGGTACGATTCGTGGCATAGCATACGGCCCGCTCCCATAATAGTACTGTTGAGGCCTTCAGCCTGATCCTATTATCGTGTACATTGTTGAGGGTCTATCGACACGAACCATAGATACATCTCATAATACTGCCAAGTGAACGTCCTGATACCATAATAATATTGCTGAGTCGATCAGCCCGATCCCAGAAGAGTAGTGAAGACTTGACAGGTTACTGGCCCCACTCAAGAATATACGTGTGAGTTGTGAAATTCAACAAAACTTCCATACAAACACATACAACACATGAAAATTTCATAATAGGAAGTGAAATCTCTACTGCTAATCAAATAGCTCTCCATATATCATGAATCGTTAGTCTGATACTTTAGCAAGTCTAGTCTCAAGCAAAAGGTATATTAAAGCAACAAAATATGCAAGAATAACTCAATTATTATAATCAAAATATGGCGTGAGTCTAAGTCTACATGAACCTAATCATGAATTCTAGCATACGCACGGACACTCATCACCTCATATGTGTGTAGCCCCTACAACATGTAGCACATAGCAAATATAACACCTACGGGGTAAATTTTTCCCTCACATGGTTAGGCAAGAGACTTACATAGCTCCGAAGTTCATAACCGGCTTCAATGCCTCTCTAACACCTCAAACCTATGTCCATCGATCAGAAGCTAGTCAAACAACATGCAAACCAATAAAAATATACCCACAACACTCATAACTAATCAATTTATAATAATTCTCAACTTCGCTCGAAAAGTCGATAAAGTCAACCCCCAGACCCACGTGCCCAAATTTAAAAAATTATCAAAAATAAAGACTACCCATAACTTATATAGTATATATCCAAAAAATCATTTAATTTCGTCCATGAATTGACCCTTAAATTAAGGATTTATCTTTTCTCAACTTTGGGGCTCAAAATTTCAATTTTTACAATTCAAATACGGATAAAAATAATAACCAATGAAAACCATAATGGGAAAACATAAAAATAAAGGTTATATATTTACCCTCTTATTGAAATGAGAACAACGCCGCAAAAATCACCTCAAACAGAGCTCTAGAACTTAATGCTCAAAATATTAAAATGCTCGGTCTACCCATTTAAAATACTGCCCAGGTGATTTTTGTTCTTCGCGTTCGCGAAGAGAAAATTTTCACATTGACCGGTCAACCCAGATTCCTTCTTCACATTTGCAGGACCACTCTCACGTTCGCAAAGAACAAAAGTTCGCACAAGAAACCATCAATCTTTTCCGACACAAAAATGTGCATAACTCTCTCATACGACCTCGGAATTCAATAATTCTTGTTGCTATGACTCTGTAATTATGATACAGATCTAATTGTCCAATCTAATCATAAATCAAATATCGTTTGCTCGATATGGCACCTTTATAACCAGAGAAACAACACTTAAAGATCAAATAAGAGCGCGATACAACACAAACCCATCTGAAACATCCCGAGGCCCTCGGGACCCCATTCCATCACACCAAACAGTTTCAAAACATAACAAGAACCTACTCGAGAATTTAAATCACACCAAACAATATCAAAACTATGAATCGTACATCAATTCAAGCCTAATGAACTAATGAACTTTTAAACTTCTAAAACTCATGTCAAACTATGCCGAATCAACCCAGAATGACCTCAAATTACGCATGCAAGTCCCAAATGACATAATGGACCTATACCAACTCCCGAAACCATAATATGAACTCGATATAAATAAAGTCAACTATTGGTCAAACCTATCAACCTTCCAAACTTTCAATCTTTCAACTTTTTCCAAAAAAAAAATATCAAACCAACCTACGGACCTCCAAATCCAAATTCGGACATATGCCTAAGTCCAAAATTATCATATGAATCTAATAGAACCATCAAAATTCCAATCCGAGGTCGTTTACTCAAAAGTCAAACCTGAGTCAACTCTTTCAACTTAAAGCTTCCGAATTGAGAATTATTCTTCCAAATCAACTCTGAACCTCTCGAAAATCGGAACCAACCACGAGTACAAGTCATAATACATGAAGTGAAGCTACTCAAGATATCAAACCACGGAACGACACGCTAGATCTCAAAACAACCGGTCAGATTGTTATAATATATATATAGGTCAAATACATAGATAGCCCCTTAAGTCGGTCCAAAATTTTCAGTTAGGCACTTAAACTAAGACGATGACCTAATGAACACTTGAACTACGCTTAAATTGTGTCTTTCGAACACAAAAGCTTACATGGCAGATGACGTGCTTCCAACGCAAAATTGAGCATGTGAAATGATTTCATGCTTTTTTGTAATAAATTTCATCACCGGAAATATGAAATTT